CCATTACTTTTGGTCCCTTAACAAGTGGGAGGCACATATGCAAACTGTTGTAATTCCTACACCGTTCACCTGATTTGGATGTAAATACCCTCAAATTAAAGCTGACAGTCTGCAGTTAAAGCACATCTTGTTCGTTTCATTTCAAATCCATTGTGGTGGTGTATAGAGCCAAAAATGTTAGAATTGTGTCGATGTCCCAATATTTATGGACCTGACTGTATCATTTCCCCTGCAGGGTTGTGCCGACGTGTGGCCGTGCTTATCTTTAGAACATAACTGCCCTGAAACAATCGGTGAGCTGTTCAAAAGAACAGAGCTAGAACATTAACAGGTCTGTGCTGCAGTTGTGCCGAGCGTCGGCCATGTTGGAAGGGTTCTTTGCCCTACAGGGCTCTGTGCCAGTCACATTACTGAAAACTATGACTCACAGCGGTGAAGAATTCTTTAAACGTTGTTTAGTGTGACACATTTTCAGGTGTTTGAACCAGGCTGAAGGGGTAAAGTTCATTAAATTAGAAAATTCCTTCAGATGTCTAACATGTGCATATGGGAGGCTTTATCTAAATCGAGTTCTAATGACTGCTCGGAGATGATTGCAGAGAACTGGATGACCTCTTTAGTCTGCCTGTGATTGAATTTTGTGAGTTCTCCTTTCTTAAAGCTGCCGTTGTCATCTTGTCCTTTTCCTCCACAGCAGACTGTTAAACCGGGAGGTGGAGCCGAGCAGGCCGTTGTCAGCCTCCCCTCCTCCTCCACTCCTCCGTTGTCTCCTCCTCCCAGACCCAAGAAAGAGGAAAACCCAGAGGTAAGACGTGCAGAGTGACAGCTGGCGTGCACTGGCCTCACTGTGTGGTTCTGTAGGAGAGGGGTCGATGAGGCTGAAGCTATAGTGAAGTGCACGTTTTGTCAGAGGTTGTATCAAATGGAAAAAACTATGCACTGATGATGTCCGATGCTTCAAACATCAGTGCTACTTCATGACGTGCTTCACTGAGTTATAGAGTTTTTAAAGCATAAGGCTGATGATTCTGTATGTTGATGTTAGTCCCCACCAACCCCGTCCAGAGGGGCAGGTTTCCTCCTCAGGAAACACGAGAACCTGTGTGTTTCTGGTAAACAGCTCCAACAGCGGCTCTGTGCAGGAGCTGGTGGAGCAGCGTGACCAGAGCAGAGACCAGCGGCTCTGTCTCACTGCAGACCCTGTACAGAGTGACGCTGCTCTCAGCCTGTGGAGGAAAGTAACAAAAACATACAAAATCACCAGCTGCATCCTTCACAAATTTGGCAGCTAATCTAGGGATATTAGTAGAATAAGAATGCAAAATCAGCATTTGTATGAGAACACTTCCACCTGGTACACCAATGAAGTACATTAATATTTAGTGTCGCTGTACTGGTTGTGTGTGAGCAGCCCATCACCAGGTTATGATGACAGCTCTTTCTGTCTTCCTCCTGTAGAAACTGGCCTTCATGGTGTCTTTGGGCCTGGTAACACACGACCACTTGGAAGGTGAGTGACAGATGTTCTGCTGCTGCTGCCATGAACGTTTCAGCATTCAAACTCTGTTTTACTTGATTTAGAAATCCAGAGCAAAAGACAGGAGCGGAAGAGGAGAACGACGGCCAACCCAGTGTACAGTGGAGCCGTGTTTGAACCCGAGGTTTGTACATCAGCAGGTGCAAAATGCATTTTAAAGTGATGAGCACAAAAACAATTATAAACCATTAACACTGACATTACTGTGAAATGTGCCATCCTGCATAGTGACTACTGTTACTTTTAGTACTTCAAGTATATTTTGATGCTGATGCTTCTGTACTTTTACTTAGTAACATTTTGAATATTTTACTGGTACCACAGTACTTACCTATTTTTACTGGAGTACACGGTGCGAGTGCTTCGTCCACCACTGTTGTGTTTTCACAGCCCTTAAGAACAGTTTGAAGTTGATTTGTCATTTTTGATTAAATTGATTGTAGGCAGTTTGAAAAGCCACAAACCACCAAGTTTATTAGGATAAATGTTCTGTCCTGGAGATATTCTATAAACATGATCAAATGTATTGATTTGCCTCAGCTCTCTATGTCCTTCACATCCTGAAGGGAAAACAACTTTCAGAGTGATTTGCCTTGATTTAGCAAAACTTTTCAAATGGAAACAAGAGAACAAATTATGCCTCTGTGGTCAGTTTTGTTACATGTCATCAAATATCTCTTCAGTTTGATTTCAGAATGAGTCTGCACCTTAATAACACAATGCATCTAAATGAACTAAGTACATGTAGGATCAACAAACCAAACAGATCAGTTGTCAGGTGTTCTGAGTCTAATGGAGCTGTCTGGGCACTGACCACGAAAAATTCTGCAAATGAAAGGGATGAGCACATCACATTAATATTTCATGAACACGTTTTTCCCATTTGTCTTCCAGAGGAAAAAGAGTGCAGTGAGTTACCTGAACAGCCCTCTGCACCAGGGGACCAGGAAGAGAGGTCCGTATGAAATCCTGATCTACAGGTCAGAGTGTTGTGAACTGGTAGAAACAGAATAGAGACTGGAACAGAATCAGTAGAAACAGAGGATAGAATCGGGTGGAGCCATAACACACAGGTAAAGTAGAATGGAGTCTGGTAGAGAAGCAGCACATTGTAATGTGTACAGTGTATTAGAGCTGTGGGGGGTTCAGTACAGTAGACTGTAGTGGATTCAGTAGAATAGAGAATGATCTCTGTCTAATCTCGATACTAATGAAAAGGGATGGAGTCTGACGGCCTTTTATAGAATCTGAATCAGTCCTCAGTTCCCTTACTGAATCCAAATCTTGGTGAATCCTTTATCGAATCTGTTGAAGTAAAAAAGTTCTGTTTTTATTTCACTCAGGCGCAGCAACAAGACGTGTCAATAAAATATCAGTATTTAAAAATCTAGTTTTTTCTAACCACGTTACTAACACAAGTGGTCATGTTGATGTAAGGAGCAGACAGCCCAACACAGAAGCATCAGACTGACCCATGGACAATGGACAGTGAGCTTCAGTCCAGATTCATTAACCCTGCTCCTCACTGGGGGCTGCACTGCAGCTGCACACATCACAACACGATTCGGTCTGTATCAGTCAGTATTAGCTCCAGACATTGCTGCTGTTCTGCTGCTCGATGCACCGAGCGTCAGCTGCAGGTGACCAGGTTGTTGTACTGCTGAGATCCCAGAGTGTGGTGCTCACAGAACATGGAGCAACGGTGGGCGGAGGCTGAGTAGGCTGAGGCCAAGCACTCGTCCTTCTCACGCTCTCAGCAGTAACACAGGGCTGAGTTTAACATTCCAGTTTGCAGTTGTTTCATTGACTTCAGACCGAACAGGCCACCATATTTATTTACAGCATTTATTTTTGAAGTTTACTGATATGTAACACGTGGTACATCACATTTGTTTACGACAGCGCTGTTGAGTTATCACAGGTTTATATGTCTTTTTTTCCTCTGCTGATGCCTGTAGCTGTCACAGAGGCCGATGAGTGTAAACTAGACTGAGCATGAATGAAGGATTCGATAAAGGATCCATTTGACCATTTAACCAACTTGGAACCAGAACCAGTTCTCAGAACCCATCCCTACTAATACCCTGCTGCGAAAGAAATTCTCCTGCTTTCTGTTTCCTGTCGCTTCAGTCAGGTTTTATGTCTCAAGCTGGATTTATACTTGTCTGTCCGAGGTTCTGCAGCTCCAGCAGAGCTCAGTGAACTATTGTCAGTACACATTAAAGATCTGGAGGTACAAACAGGATGTTTCAGTTTGGGCTGCTGGCATCATGTTTGCCAGTAGAGACTGCTGATAGCAAACACCTCAGAGATCAAGGTAAAGACAGGCTCAGAATAGTCAGTTCTTTTTAGTAATCCAGCCTTTTATCTTGTGATGCAGCAAAGCTTTTCCTCAGCTAGCTTGTTGGCCCCTCTCACAAAGTGAATGAAGGCATGAAAACATGATTACTTAGGGTAAATAGTAAAAGGACAGTAAAAGGACATCCAGATACTTCATCCATCTGTCAGGGGGTAATTTCAGCCAAGCTGGTTTCAGAAACAGGCATGGAAACAATCTGAAAATGCTAAATGTTACAGTATAAAGATTAAATGAAAGACCTTCAGAAGCCAGAAGAACTTGACAAGTCTTACAGTTCCTGAAATAAATCAAGATTCATTATATTTTTGTACACATCTAAGACACATTCCTGATGGCTTGAAGCAGTCATGGCATCTGTGAGACTAGCACACCTCCATACAGCAGTACACAGCTGAGGAAGAGTCCAGCAGTAAATCCTCCTTCGTGAGGGTGATGATTAATTTCAGGTTGTGTTGTGAGGTTTTATTGTGTTATACTGGTGGCAGCTTTTGTTATTTTGTCCACCTCATTTATAACAGTGAGCCCAAATCCCGGAGCCAGCTCTCGGTGTAACACAGTGCAGATGCTCAACCTGCAGTGACCACACAGGTGACACAGTCTGAACATCACCACCTTCAAGAAGGAGGGTTTACTGCAGCACTGTTGGATTAGACTGACTTGGCTCCTAATAAACAGGGGTTCCTAATAAACTGACCACTGAGTATAGATCACAGACCATAAAGGAATCGGCCCCAGCTGAACTACACAGTTTATGACCTCTGAGACACCTCGATGAGGAAGTATAAATCCAGTTGAGCCTGCATGCCTGTTTTCTTCTCTGAGAGCTGTTGAAATGCATCCTGGGAAGTGTAGGAATTCACCACCTAAAGCAGAAGCACCTGAGACAGGTGGAGTCCTCACAAATTACCTCCTAAGACAAGTGAATGATAAGAATGAGGTTTTCAATTGAGCTGGGTCTTTTCCTGCAGCGTTAGATCAGTAGTTTCTTTGGGGTTCATTTTTGCTCTGATTGGCCAGGAGTGATGACATGAATAGAACAAACTCAAAGTGGTTTGTATGAATGGTAACACAAATCTAGGGATTGGCACAACTAACATGCAACTACTTTTATGATATCATGCCACAGAGCACTAAAATGGATTCCAAGGAGCTTCTGTTTTCTACGATACCCCTGTTTTAGTGACTAATCTGAGAGATTTAACATGTGACACTAAATAATTCCCACACCACTGCCATCTGACTTTAAAGCAAAATTTGAAATCATGGTGTAACTCTGTGTCAGATTTTAGCACCTCAGCAGCCTTAATGAAGTTTAGACATGTGCCATCAAAGGGCTGTAGCTACTACAGAGGACACTGAGGTCATGACCTCGGTATTTTTCCTAGAATTTGGGAGAAATGCGGTGTTGTTGAAATACAGTGCACATTGTCTGCTAGTTTGATAGGCGCCTGGTGATACCGGCTGTTCAAGAAGAGTCAGGATTTTAGTGAAAACCTAAATAATTATTGTTTAATTGATTAACCTTCTCTTATTTTTTGATGCTTCTCTGGAATCAGGGTGGAGCAGTTTCTCTGCATCATTAGGACATATTGTGATATACTGCTGTGAAAATGGGTTGTAATATGAGATGGTTCTTGGAGCCCCCGCTGGTTTTCTGTCTGTCTGACCAGTGTGATAGTGAAACGGGTATTAAATTTAATTCATAGCAGTGGTAAACAGGTCTGAAACTCTTTAAGTTTAGTTTGGTGAACTGATTGTTGAATGAACTTTGGTAAACATTTAGTGAACACTGCAGAAACCCTGGAGAAAGCTTCACGCATGAGGACTCTCTCCTCCATCTGGGAACCGGACTACTGCAGTCTGAAAGTGCTTTCTTTTTCCCGTATTCTTGTTGGAAACGAGGGAGCTGTCTTATAGTCAGGGTCGTCTTAGATTCAAGCCAGGATGGTATTGAAGAGTGTGGTGGGTGTGTGGGTTGGGACTTGGACTCGGGACCTTTCTGAGATCCTGGCTACAGCCCTGGTGGTGGCCTACAGGTTAAATCTGGACGGGTGCCTGAGGTGTGTTAACATCTGACACGAATCCATTTGTCGTGCGCTTCATAGACGACTGCAGTAGGTTTGTACTCGTGCTCGGCTTCAGCTTGCACGGAGCCGGTCTCCTGCACTAACACTGCTCTCTGTGCTTCTGACTCCTCCTCTTCCTCCTCTTCCTCCCTTACCGCTCCCCTGTCTCATGCTAGCCAACGAAGACTCCCTTTCCAAGGTATGTCATACAGACTGTTTGTTTTTGTTTTTCCTCCCTCTCCATCTTTCTTTTTTCTTTGTTTTCCGTCTTTGTTGTCTGTCTCATTTCACCCAGGTCGCCCACCCAAATACAGCAGTGTCCCGGAGCTGGGCAGCCTCACCCCGACCTCCCCCTCCAGCCCCGTCCATCCCCTCCCCCTGCCCAGCCCCAGCTCTGGGGATGTAAGTAACGATGGGGGAGACGGACAGTTCAGAGGGTCGGGCACCCCGTCACACACAGTCCTATTGGTGCTGTAGCTCTGTCGGCCATTTACACCCCTAGATCTCCACAAACACGTCCATTAGTTTGTTGTCTCCATGTGATAGTCATCAGTCATGTCAATTTTTACTTTGATTCAGCCTTACAAAGTGAACAGTGTCCTGTAGCCCAGAGCTGCCATTAATAACTACTACTCAGAACACATCCTAACTCCCAGACGTCCAGTAACTTTTCTGTGGGTCAGTAAGTTAACACACCATGTCCATTAGACATCGAAACCAGGCCAACTGTAAACTAAACCAAGCCTGATCATGGTGCCTCCCCTTGCCTTGCCTCTCCACAGATGGATGGTGGGGCTCATTTGGGCAGGGAAACTGATTGGTCCAATTCTTCCTCACAGGGAGACATCCATGAGGATTTCTGCACTGTGTGCAGACGCAGTGGCCAGTTGCTCATGTGCGACACGTGTTCTCGTGTTTATCACCTGGACTGCCTGGATCCACCCCTGAAAACCATTCCTAAAGGCATGTGGATCTGTCCAAAATGTCAAGATCAGGTAACCACAGCAGTCGAGACTGATCCTGAGTCAGGGGGTAGGGGGTACCGCAGTCCAGAGAAGGGCCAGTCACGGCCTGTAGCTCTCCTTAACTGTTTCTGCTGATGGGCCTTGTGCCACCTGTAGGACTGTTCCATCCTTTGTAAGCAAATACATGATACAGTATTGTTTTGTTGTGCTTCTGTCCCATTCATTGTGTCAGTAAAGATTGGCATCTCACATCCATCCACTCCACTGCTTGCCCCCTTTCAGCCTCACCACAGGGTGGCAGCTGAATTTGTCTTCCCTTAACCTTTCCTGAGTCTCGGCCTGTATGACAACTCTGAGCTCCTCTCTGCAGATCCTGAAGAAAGAAGAAGCCATTCCCTGGCCTGGTACCCTGGCTATCGTTCATTCCTATATCGCTTACAAAGAAGGTGACTGCCTGTTGTTTCTGTCTTTTGAGAAACAAGCACAGACAGTTCAAAAGTGAGATTAACTGTTTTGTTCTGTTTCAGCTAAAGAAGAGGAGAAACAGAAGCTGATGAAGTGGAGTTCTGAACTGAAACTGGAGCGGGAGCAGCTGGAACAGAGAGTCAAACAGCTCAGCAGCTCCATAACGGTAGGAAACAATATTGAACAGCTCAGCAACATAACAGGAATGTGCTCCAGTAGCTGGTTCTGCCTCTGAACCACTCTCAGGTGACTAATACATACCCAAATTTTCTGAGCTCAGATCTTCATCTCATATCTGCCTGTATCTCCTGCAGAGCAGAGAGCAAGGCTCCAAACATTCATGTGGCCGAATGTGGCACCGGCTAGTTGAATTTACTGTTGATCATATAAGCTGTTGTTAATTAACTTGAGTTCCTTAATTAACTTGAGTAACAGCAAAACAAGTTGCTCATTTTTAAGTTAAAGTACACCTTTTACATGTTGTATTTTGAAGCTCGGGCCATCCTTTCTACCATCATTACATCCTCTCGGTGGCATCAGTAGGAATACGGGTCACTGAGGTCATCAAGAATGATTTAAACTATAGTTCTGTGCAAAAGTCTGAGGCCACCATCAGCTTTGCTGTGTTAGCAAGGTTGTAACACTCATTTCGGTTTATTTCTCAGTCTCCTTATTAAGAGAAAAACAGAAAATATAGGAAATATGTATGCAATATTAAAAAGACAAAATGGCTTCTCCAGTCCAAAGCCAGTATTCAGCGCCCTGAGCACAGCTTGAAGTCTTTGGGGAGACTGTCTTGAAGTTCTGAAGCCATGACAGAGCCTCCACTGTGTTACACTCGTTCTTCCACCTCTCTCCAACTCTTCTTCTCACAACGACTGGGCCCGAACATTTCAAACTTCCATCTGTCACTCCATAGTCCTCGTTTCCACTGATCTTCACTCTAAACTTAATAGTTTTGAATAAGGACCTCAAGAAGAATTTGGAGCCAGTAACTGCATTGTATATGTTCTGTTGCTTAGCTCATGTTCAGGTTGTGGCTACAGGTTGTGAAAGTTGAAGAGTAAAATGCACTAAAGGCCATTTCAATTAAATCTTTGGGTTGAAAAACTATATTTATCAATGTAGTTACTTGGAAGTGTTGAAAACCTGAACCTGAATGATGTGATTCAGTAAAGTCTTCTCAGAGCCTAGCAGTTGCCGCAGGCCTCATAAGAAGAGGAGCCAGGTGTGATGACCACACTAAGGTGAACTGATAGGACACTGCCAGTAGGTCCAGACTCTGGAATCATGGGCGCTTGAATATTATATTTGGTTGTTCCCTAAATAGCATCTGGTGTCCTATATCAGATCTAACCCTGCTGTCCTTCTTCCACTAGAAATGCATGGAGACCAAAAACACCATCCTGGCTCGTCAGAAAGAGATGCAGCTTTCCCTGGACAAAGTCAAGCACCTGATTCGCCTCATCCAAGCCTTCAATTTCAACCAAGCTCTGGCAGAGACGGAGGGTAAAGATGCCAGTGCCAGAGTTAAGGACAGTGCTGAAGGTGTGCTTGGCTCTGAAGCTGCACCAGAAGCCAACTCTGTCGAGAGCATGACGGCTGCGAGTGCCTCAGTCAGCAGCAACGCTGATGGAGACGACGAACAGGAGGAGCACAGAGCCACAGGGAACAACCAGGCAGTAGCAGCAGCGAAAGGAGAAGATGCTGACACCCAGCCTCTCCTGGAAGACAGCACGGCCCTAACAGCTGATAACAGTCCCAGTGTCGGGGCAGGGGGTAAGGCCGGGATTGGTGTTGGGGTAGGGGGAGGGGGGAACAGAGGGACTGGTCTCCAGGCCGAGGTTGTGGCCAAGCCTGAGACTGAGGCAGTTCTGGTGGCTGACATTCCAGCTTCCTCAGCGGTTGCAACTGTTGCCACCACCAACGGTACAGCTGAGCCAGCCTGTCCTGACCCCACCCCCTCAGGGGGCTGCGCCACCAATGCCACCACCAAATCTGAGAACAAGATGGCTGCCGTCAACCCTCCAGAGACAGCGGTGGAGAAGAAACAGGAGGAGATCACTGACAGTGACGGCAGCAACACCAACAACAGCAAAACCTCAGAACCCTCCCAGCATTCTTTGCCAGCTCTTGTCAGCAGTTTGGACAATAAAAAGTAATGCTATGTCTCCTGAGTTGCGGGAATTCAAACATATATATTAAAAAAACTTTTGCTTGCACCATATGGTGCCCTGAAGTTGCCAATCTGTATAAATGTTGTTTGTTTGCATTGTATTGTCAGACTGTGTCAATGGTAGATATACAGCCCAAGTCACATGGCTCTGGGAAGGCGTAGGCTGTTCTGCCCACTGAGCTGGGGTACAGGAAGGCCGATGCACCAGAGTCATCATGCCAATTAGTGATAGACGTCAGTGGTGGGAACACTCAAAGGGAGATTTAATTCATCATCACACCAGTGTGTGCCTGTTATAGTGGCCCCTGTGTTCTCTTGTGGGGTGGGGAGATGGGTTCACATGGGTACGAAGATAACTGAGAACATGGAACCAAACATCTGTCAGGGGTTAATGATCTAAAAAGCAGTGTTGTGATAGAGTACGCGTACTGAAAAGAGCCTGTTTATCCCCTCGTCCCAGTCAACTTCATGTGTACCTCGTCCCAACTTCTGCAATCCTACGACCTTGATCTCCAAAACCTTCTTTTTTAATAGCCCTATCAACCACACGCCTGTGTCTCCAGGTCTTAACCAAGAACGTACATCATCTTCAGTCAACAAAAAAAACCCACAACTGTTCCTACTGGCCAGTAGCTGTACCTTTCCCTTAATGACTCAAACGTAGCTTCCCCAGTCTGCCAACAATCCCTCTCTAATTCACAAGGGCTCACTATGCTTCAAATGAAGTAGTTTCTACCCAGTGTCGTCTGAATGCTCACACTGAAGGCAGAGTGAGACACTTCAGGGGAACGAGATGCAATATTTGAGGATGCTGGTGCACACTTTTGACCAGTCTCTTCTCAAAAGACTGTCATGGTGCTGCACTCTCTGGTCCACATTCTCACCATCTGGTGTAATTGTGGTTTAGGAAAGTTACTTAACTTGTCCCCCTGAATTTTAGTGTCAGAAAGGTGATCCTGAAGCCTTCAAACCAGCGCCCCCAACTTCCCCGTCTGTCTTGTCTTCAGTCAACAAAAACCTTAACCCTGTAAAGCCTGACACATCAAAAAATAGCCAGAACATTCAAATTTTTGGAACTGAGATGTTTATTAAACCTTTTAACAAAATCCAAAAGAAATTTCAAGATTCAAGATTTTTATTTGCCATTCATAGATAGACAGACAGTCCAGGCATATAGGAATAAATGTTCCATATTATTTTGTTTTTTTTTTTTTTGTATCACATTTGATCTGTGGGGCATTTTTGGCTTTTTTTTGGCTTTTTTTTTTTTTTTTTGCTCAGAAACTCGCATAGCAAATATGATCAAATGGTTTTATAGGGTTAACCCTATAAAACCATTTGTATCATGCAGTTGCAGAAACATTTTCCCTGGTGACCAGTGATCCAGTGTAACCCTCAACCTAAACCAGTCACCCTATTCCAGTCACGTTTCAGATGCTTAAAATGTGTAAAAGTGTTTTGCCAGTCCAACAGTCCAAGCCCAGTGCACTGACAGCTCCCACTTTTCCCAGCAGCCCACAGTCCCACTTCGGCTCCTAAGAAGTTCAAATCCTGCCTTTGCTCACTTGACCAAATGTTGTATAAAGTGGCCACGGCTGTGGGAGTGTCAGCAAACACTTAGTCTGAGCATACTGACACCTTTAAATCAGCATCCCTAAAACCCTCATGAACTGACCATCAGTCATCAAAAGATCATAACTTCTCTCAGTGACCAGTTGCTTTCCCCTAGTAAGTGAAACCCAAACATGCATTTCCCAGTCCACCAGTGGTCCAGTGTGACCTCCCTCGTAAATCCACAAGGGTTCAGTTTAATTTGAACAAACCAGCTTGCGCAAAGTGTCGATAGAAGCAGCCACTCCACTGCTTAGTGAGGTGTGGAGTGATCAGGTTTCAGACGCTGTTCAACCATCCAACAAGCACTTCATTTGAAACATACTGATGCTTTTAAACATCTCTAACTTCCAGTGTGTTAATTCCACAAAAAAACCCCAAACAGCCCTAACCCAGTTGACTGAACATTCTGCCCTCTCCCAGTCCACCAATGAACACACCTCCCCTACCAGCCAAAAATATCCCTGAGCTCAGGCAGAAGGCGCTAAAACGTGAGGTTAAGCAGGTACAGGACGAGGTTGAACAGGTGCAGTAGCCTAACCGATGTTTTCAGTGGTGTTGGTCAAGTGCAGTGATTGAGTTTTCATTCGTGAGTCAAGTGTGTCAACTGTGAGCACTAAATGTGAAATTGCAATATTGCAATGTCAACACACACAAACTATATCTGGGCTGTGTTTCTTTTTTATAGGAAAAGATATTCAGGTCTTCCTAGTCTTCAAAATAAGTGCTTTCTGTTCCTGAACCTGCTGGACTGGCATTATCAACACAAAAGGAATCCTCTTTTGAAGTGGTGATCTTTGCATCATGTACATTTCTGTTGAATCCTCAACTGCCAAAATGATGATGTACCCAAATTCAGCAGGGACAAGTCCAATTACTGTACTGAAAGATCAAATCATTGGCATTGTAAGACGTCGATGCTACCATTTCAGAAAATGGAAGTCCCCAAATTGAGACAGGAGAGCTTATTAAACAATAGCATTAAAGGAACATTTTTCCTTGAAATGGAGGATTTGTTGTATAAACCTGCTCCTTCAGATGGATCTCAAAGGACGATACCACAAATCCTGAGATTAAAGCACAAGCTTGCTGCATTACAAAGAAGTGCTGAAGAGCTTTTTGTATGTTAATATGGAATTAAACAGAGTATGCATCTCTTTGTTGTGATGTGACTTATCCCCACATTGCCAATATTTTTCTAGGAGGAAATACAAACCTCTGTGTGACATTAAGGCTCAAGTCTAGTTCGTATGGTCCAGAGGAGTGCCCGGGCTTCTGCCTTCTCAGAAACCCCTTCATCCCCTCGCAGTTAGACTAGTGCATCTCTTTTCTTTCTAGAGCATGTCTGGGCTGGAACATGATGCTGTTATTTGTCAGCTTGGCGGCTTTCAGTTCGGGTCTGTCTGTCTGGTGATCTGATCTGACGTCTGGCTTCTTGTTGGGTATGGGGCATTAACAAACTCTGGTCTGTTCATTAACCTTGCCTCTGGTTGTGCTGGAAGGTTTTCTTTGTTTGTTTTTGCAATTTCAGAGCTTTTATGCTTAGATTTTAGTCACCCAAAAAAGTATTCACCCCTGAGTAGCCCCAATGGCATTCAAGCCCCAACTCTTCCAACCTTGTTATTTAGAAGTTCATGTCAGATGTTTTTATTTTCCTTACTGTTTGATTAATCAGCGGTTTTGGCCATGCTAGATGCATGTCAGTCCATCACTTTGGTCCAGAGTGAAATATCTCAACAGCCGTAGGAGGCATTGTGATGAAATGTGACTCTGATTTTCATATTGCCCTCAGGATGAGCTGTACTGACTTTTCATCCAGCGCCATCATCAGGTCAACACTGTACTGTGTAAAATACTTTGATTTATGACCAAATACCTGCAGAACATTATTAATGTAACCTTGAATGCTAATGTGTGTTAGCATGCTAACATTAATGTTAGCATGCTAACACACTAAACCGAGCTTATGAACATGAAGGGGTGAATACACTTTTGGGCGACTCTAAACTCTTTTTTTTTTTTTATATATATATATAGACTTTTGTAACTGAGCATTTCTGACATCGGCTGTACAAACGGCCTTCACTTAGATCCCAGAAAAAAGAATCACAGGAAAATCTCTAATGTGTTCACATGTTTGGCCACAGCGTTGTCTGATCAGTGTAGTTTGTCTCTAGTGGAAGTTAAACCTTTCGAAGGTGGAAGGAAAAGACTGGGCAGAGATGTGAGCCGAACAGAAAATGGCATCTACTATGTCTGTCCCCTTAGGAACGCTATTTATTGTGTGTTTTGTTTTGTCAGTTTACATACTCGGGTGGAGCCTTTGTTAGCCACTCATGGATAGAGCAGAGTAGTCATCCATTCTCTTCCCCCAACAAGTTTTTCTTTGAAAGACCCCAAACACGTGCTCCAGACAAACTGGACCTTTCCCTCTGTACAGTAGGTACCTAGAGTGCCTTTCTTCAAACAGCAGATAATATTTGTCTCTTGACTTGCACTGTGACTTGTAGAACCTTTCAAACTCTCCAGATAATCCTCCCACCCGACCCTACCTGCCCCACCCTCCTCTGGTCTGTCCCGCCCCACTGAGCTCCCTGAAAGTCCGGAGAACAAACCCGGTCCCTTCACCTCAGGCTGCCAGTAGTCAATGCAAGTTGAAACTACATTTCATATTATGCTGTTTAGATCGACCAGATAGTGTTTTGTTGTTGTATAATAGGAGTTGCCTTAAGTGTGTTTTGTTTTACAAGATTAACGTTTTCATTTGGGGGGGGGGCGATCACTGCATATGCTGGCAAAGGTCAAAGGTCAGATGGGTGAAAATGGCTCCAAAGAGGAATTGTTGATGATTGTGTGACAGCCAGTTGTTTTGTGATGCACTTTTAATTTGACCAGTATTAATGTCCAAGTGTAACAATGGGATCCGTCAGCAACAGGAATCGCAGTCATGAATCTGGCTTTGGATTTAAGTTTTAGAGGCGTTTCAGTCCCGACGTGTGGGTGCCAGTGGTTGGACTCATTCTCTTTTATTTTGAGTGGTTCATCATTCCCTCTGTGCTGTGGTTCTTCTTCTTCTGTGTTTGGAGGAGGGATGAGTTTGCTAAATCAGGTCATGTGAGATGGAGCCTGTGTCTATTTGGAGTGAACAAACTAACCTGCACCCTGGTGGTGGGCAGACGCGGGCCCAATTAGGAACATCTGTCCACTCAGTCTAGTGGAACGCATGCCTTCTTATGCAAATTTTTATACAAATTTGTCAAACCAATTTAATATGCATTTGCGTTTGTTTTTTAAGTTTTTACATGAAATTCAAGTCATCTTTTTTTCTTGAACATTCATGCAGTTTAGGTGTTAAACAGGGCAGTAGCCATCTGTGTTAGAACGGAAACATTTCTTCCTGATGTTGTGTTTTATGGATGGCGCCGGGAAGGTTTTACCTCCTTAGTTTAGATTTTAGTTAGAACTTGGCAAATGCATCATGCTGATTGTTGGGCTGTTGGGAGCTGTGTGGGGGCCTCGATCAAGTCTTAATGTCTAAATTGTGTCCTTGGCTTCTATTTAGTCAAGCTCTAAAAGTGAATTTATCCAAAGAACACTGCAAATGTGCATTTTTGTTTGGAAGCCTTTTATGTAGTCAGTGCATATCATTTGGAAAGTCGTTTCTGCATCAGCATCATGTGCATTCACCAAGGTGGAAAAAGACCATGTGTTGAGTTTGTGTTTGAGGAAATCTTGTATGCATTAAGACCCTCCAGGTCCCTGTGTGGTGGATTGTTCTGGAAGCATCCTGGAAAGTAGTTCACTCACATCTTAGTTTTGAAATGATCAAGTCATGATTGTGGCCTTCTAGTATTTTGTCGAAACATGACATCAGTCCGTTGTTACTGTTCAGCATCCATCCTGTCCGGACCCAACTGTACACCTGAAGCTTCTTACCTCATCCACAGTGAATTCCATTGGGGGTGTGTTGAGTGCAAAAAAAAACAACAACAAAAAAAACAAGTAAAAGATAGTCTTTTTTATCTTCCATTTGGTGAGATGCATTGTAGCGATATGAATAAAGAAAAAGTTCACCTGGTGTGCTGAATAATGTGTAAATTGGTAATTACACAATCTGAATATTTGTATAATTGTTTGTATTTTTTCATAATGATTTTGGAAAGGAATGTGTTTATTTTTTGACTTCTGTTCCAGATGTGTCTTCTGTTGGCCTGACATTGTGACTGGTCTGGTGGGATTCTTACCTCTGTATTGAGCCTCTTCTGTGATGAATTCTTTGTATGCAGTGTTTAGGAAATACTGTAGGGAACATGGGGCGGAGTTGATATTAGGAGCATTTGATCAATTTGTATTTATTTATTTTATCATTTTGTTAATAAATTGTGAAAAGCAGCATGTCTTGCCTGTTTTTCTTTCTTACGAACAGCGTGGAAAATGTTTTATAGGTATTACCGGTAAAATCTGACTCAAACTGAATGTGATGATTTTATTTATTATATTGTTTGGACAAACAAATGGAAACTAACCAAAAAGAGGCACAAAATGACTATAAGAAGGAGCTTCATTTTATTGTAACACGTACAACGAAGTTATGTTTGGAGCCGTGGGCCCCGGCGTGCATACACGCTGCTATCACGGGCAACTTGGGTGGTTCAGTGTCTTGCCCAAGGACAGACACTTCGACACGTGGACTGTAGACACCGAGGTTCGAGCTGTCTGCTCTGCCCACCGCAACGCTGTCGCCCCCCTATAATGACAAAATCAAAGATGCGGGTGGAAATTAAAATTTGGAGTCTATGCTAAAGATGAGCATAGCCTAATTCAAATTTACTAATTTTATATTGACTTTATTGGTTTCAACAATCCCACAACGAATCCTCCCCTGTGAATGTGACGATATTCAGCCCTTGTTAGAGAATATTGAAATACGGTTTCCGTGGATACTCTTTCGTACAGCAGAGTGGCGCAGCGGAAGCGTGCTGGGCCCATAACCCAGAGGTCGATGGATCGAAACCATCCTCTGCTAAATGTTTTCGTCTTTTTTAGCACAATTCCTTAATACCCTATTCAATATACAACAATATATAACGTTGTACTGTCGCCAAGTGCTGCTCAGGGTAGTTGTTGGGGTTTTCCTCTATAATATTAATAAAAGCAAAGTCTAACTAAACCTTACTTCTACAATAATAAAACGGGGAGCTGTAACTGAATTGCATACCTTGAGAAAAATGCACGCAATCTCTTGTGGTTAATACAACGAGACCATTGCACCTAAAACGGTGAAAAAAGAAACGCGGTAGCGGTCACGAGTCAGAAAAGGGAGTGCAGATAATATGAGCACAAATGGAGAACAAATAACATTTAGGCCTATTGTGACAATTTTAGAGACAGGCTTCGTATTTACAACTCTGAAATAGGCTAACTATATCTAGACAAGCATTTTCCTCTAACATTAACTGATAAGATATAGGAGATACGTGTAGTAAAGGCCCAGTTTGACCCATATACACAAGCATTTAAAAGGTCATTCGTCAACTGCACAGAGGGGAGCGCTAATGCAACAACCACTAGATGCCAGCGTGCCACAAAACCTAAAGAAGAACAAGAACAAACTTCTGTTTATTTTTATTTCACTTGGAGCAGAATCATCAGATCCATATGGGGGAAGAAACTGCCACGCCACGTCCAGGGAAGTCCAGAACGGATTCCCTTTCCATTGTTTTCCCCCCCTGAAGGAGGAACGAAGGCGCTCAGGTAAACGAGCTGACGACGCGGGGGACGGCGACCGGAACCACATCCCCGCCACCATGAGGGTGCGCTCCTGTGCTCCACACACTTTCTCCCCAGTCAGCTTCAGCCACAACACGTGTAACCGCTCGCTGGCCAGTGCCTGGGTACACCTGGCTAACAGTGATTCTACAACAGTCCTGTAGCAGTGTCCAGTTTATTAGGAACACCTAGCTAAACTATAATGAAACGCGCATGTGTTATTGTTTACCACAACCGTTTTGGGGGCGGGGACCGTGAAGCGTAGTATCGCCGTGTTGAATGTTGGGTAGCGGTGTTTATGCGCCATGTTTTGAGGATCCTCGCTGCTTCTGTGGGCGAGTTGGAGGCAGTGTGCTGAGTCTGAAGACCGAGGCCATGGTGGGTCAGTACTGCTGCATCAAGTCCTGCCGTAGCAGGTCACATGAGCGTTCAGGGAGAAAACTGGACAAAGGAATACGTTTTTTCACGTTTCCTAAGTGGAGAAGACACGAAGGCAAGAAGATTGCGGAGGTGACAAGAAGGCGCAGGTTGGCCTGGGTAGCAGCAGTCAGAAGGGAAGACATCACTTTTGACAACATCTCTGTAGCAATGAAAGTGTGTTCTCTGCATTTTCACTCAGGTGAGTTCTCTGATAGATAGATTATCCTCTATTGTCACTGTAACACGTACAACAACATTTTAGAGCGACCTCCAGTCGTTACAGCCATAGGTCTGGTCTCCGACTTTGACCTAACTGTTGTCATTTCCATTTTCCTGTCCTCATCTTTATTATCATGGTTTGTGAAATGCCAGTATGCATGTCTGTGTGTGTGTTTTATTAGTTTGTCCCACTGACTGCAGAAACTGCGGACAGGCTGACGTCATCATATTTACGTTAGTTTAGTGGTTTGTCCAAAGATCGAGTTTCCAGTTTCTCCCGGCAGCGTCCGTTGTCTCGGTCTCCCCTTCGCCATTAGATTTGAATGGTTAAACAGGTTTCAGCCAAAGGGCGTGCAGGTAAACACATCGCGTACCTCACAAGATGGCGCTCCCTCCATAAAGTCCAACAGGGCGTGATGTACCTTCACGTTCTCTGTCCAGTTTATTAGGTACAGCCCGCCAGCCCCAGGTCCCTCTGATACAGCTGTCCTGTAGCGAGTTACCAGTGTCTCTGTCAGCTGTGTGCACACCTGTTGAATCCCCTGTAAAATCACGGGGTTTTATTGATTTTCAAACAAAAGTTATCAACAATTCACTGGTTCCTGCTCTTCCTTTGTGAGGTTTTTCCATCTGCTGTCATATTAAACTGAATATTTTTAGGTTTAGGGCAATTTGTTGGACAAAACCAGACATGAGAAGGCATCTCGTCTTGGGCCCTGAGGCTTTGGTTTACATTTACGCTGTTTGACATTTTATACATTAAATGATTGATCATGAATGAAATTGGTAGGTAAATTAAAAATGAAAATAACAGTTGCAGATTATCTTTTGACCGACTCATTGCTTAAACAGCCTGTGGCACTTTTCCTTGTTTTCTGAGTTATCAACAAAGTTACAACAGCAAGTTATCATCTTAGACGTGATCTAAAGCTCAGAAAATGTGGTGAATGTATGTTCCAGTATTTCTATGCAGAACCAATTTGGTTTATACACGTCTAACAAACTCTCACTCGCAAGACTTTTTTTCTACCAAAATAAAGTATTACGTGATAGTTTAAGGATTTCCTTGAATGGTCATACTCTCCAGGCCGTTGCGTTCATGTGAGCTTGCCTGACATCTACTGTGCCATTGTAAAAGAGTTTTTTGACTGTGCCCAGTTTTGTGGATATATTTTCCCTCCTGCTGCTGTGACCAGAGGATGTGGAGAAAAATACAGGGTGTGAGGTTAATTCATGTCCGGGAATGTTCTTGTACAGGGACTTGCTGTTATACCTGATCAGGTGTAACCTACAAACAGCCGGCCATTGAAGCCACCGCCATGGTTAGTGATCAGCTCATCAACCTGGATTACCCCGGAGCACAGTACCTGTTTGTTCTGACTGCCTGAGGCCAGTGTGTCTGCAGCATGTGATGTGTTGCTGGTTAACCAGCGGATTAACGACCCATGATGTTATTGTCGGCACTTCGCTACCTGTTGGAATTAGTTTCACTGCTTTGGGACTGTATGTGGTCGTGTGGGGGAAGACAGTGACCACCGGTTGGATTTACTGACCTTGGAGCTACTTGAAAGGGAGCGATGTTTCCACTACTCGTTGGGACTTAAGTTTAAGAAACACAGGTTGCGTGTCTGTTAATGCCTTGTTTCTGTAATGTTAGAGAGAATTGTTGTAAGGCTGGAGAAGTTACTATGGCTGCATTATGCCAGTTAAAATATGGGGTTTCTCAATTACCCGCTTTGTTTAGAGTGTTACACATCTCTTTTCATCGGTACATATACCGTTGTTTACCTTCTATGGAGGAGACATTCACATTAATTAATGCCGTCACGGTTTGTTGTGCTGTCCACTTGCGACATGACACCGGCAGCAGGAGTTATATGTGTTCACAAACTTTTTTTTTTTTTTTTTTTTTTTTTTTTTTTTTTTTTTTTTTTTTTAGGAAGGGGCTCTGGATTTATCGTTCTGAAATAATTAGACTATTTGGAGTTACGTATGATGGGTGCCAAGCTAATCTCGAGGTAGCCAAAATTAAACATTAAATGGCTGGAAATGAGCAGCAAAGGGCAGTTTAATCACACAGGTTGTGGGAGTGCAGCATCCCCTGCTGTAACATCTTTCTAGTATAGTGTCTCAAGTTAACACTGTGTGTGTTCACAGGTAAACCAGCTTATGAGATGTTGGAGTCGGATCCAGACTGGGTCCCATCACTACACATAGGTGAAAGTGGGGAAAATGGCAGGCAGGCCGAGCGTCTCTGGCTGTCTGCGCATTCAGACACCAGCCAGAAACAAAGATGGACGACAAAGAGGAGACATGCAGATGTGTTGAAGCCGACACAGAGAGAATCAGAAGCAGCAACAGGTGGGACTGAGTTTGGTTGAGGTTCTGGAGGGGAAATACAGATTCAAGCCTGTGCAGAGCAGATGTTTCTCTGGGAATGCCTAGGTCAGCTAGTGCACTGCTGTCCACAGCTCGTATGATAATTACAGACCTGGGTTTAGCGAAAGCTCTGAGTTAGTTATATTGAGATGAGGGAAACGGGAGTTTTCAGTTTCAGAAACTTGAACTGCAGATGACTAAGGGTGTGAAGTTGACCCGCTGCAGCTGCTCTTCACCAAACCCTGAGTTTGTCTCTGAAGCAGCTCAGACACCTCTCACTTCCTCTTCATACAGCCCATGTCGCTGGTCATGAATATAATCTTAATCATTTTGTCCGATTCAGTTTGGTTCTTTGTTTTTTGGTGACTGGTTTTATGGCATTTCAGCTGTTTACACATCTGCATTACAGAGGTTGAAGTAGACATTAAAATGGGTTTCTGGATGAACTGTGGTGTTGCAGGTGCTGGCAGGCCAGCGGCACTCCCCTGGAGCAAAGTGAAGTCTCTGCTGCAGTCCGTCATGCAGGACAAAACCAACGACAACCCGCAGCCTGAAGACGAGAGGCGCAGCCGACCGGGGGCTGCAGAGGAGACAGACCACAGCTTCAGAGTAGGACTGGAACTAATGTTCTCACCTTCAGTTTACAGTTATTATGAGTGATCAGACCTAAAGAGTGAACTAGTGCAGTACACTGCAATGAAAACACCAGGCCGACCATCATCGCGAGACAGATCAGAGTCCTTATTTAAACTAGTCCGAGACATTTAATGTGAAAGTCCGGTAGGCTTCTTGTCGTAGGGCTTCACCTGCGTGTGGCTGCATCACTTTGTAACACAACGGTCGCTTTGTTTCAAATGGCAGGAGCAGTAACATCTCCATATCTGCTGTTCTTCACTGATGACACACACAGATCATAGTCTAACATGAAGTAACTGTTTCAGGACTTTGTCCGAGGCTCCCTCCAGGCGTCTCTGGAGGCCTCCAGCCTGTCGAGGGCCTACACACAGAGGCCGTCCTCCGTCTCTGTGGAGCTCAGCTTTAAGCTTCCACCTCTGGAGAAGGAGAATCTGACCTGTGGGGGGTCCTCCCCCCCCTCCTCCTCCTGTCTGAACTGTGTGCAGCTGCAGAGGAGGATCGCAGAGCTGGAGGAGAAGCTGCTTTGTCTCACTGGAGGACAGGAGGCTCCCATCCAGCCAGATCAGGTCCTGCAGAGTCCTGAACCAGTCCACACAGAGGAGGAAGACACTCGGTGTAAGTTTCAGAAGTGTGAAGACAAAACCTGTCAGAATGTGAAAGATGAACCACAGCTGATATCTGAACTTTGTACTTGTTTGTCACTCTCATTTGAATGTTTGAGTCCATGTTACAACAGTTTTCTGGTGAGCTACATGCTGAATCTATTTGTTAGACACCATCGGATCCATCCGCCCAGCGCTAGTCTTTCCGCTGGGTTTCTGCAGACCTCTGTGGTCATTTCTGTTTCTGTACAGATTAACAGGTGAATGATTAAAGTGTGTTAGTTGTGATCTCCAGACGTGCTGTCAGGTGGGTTTTTAACGGCCGGGCTCGATGCTGAAGTCCTCTGGACAGGCCCTCCCATTGTTTTTGGCAGTTTAAAAGTGTGATTCAAATAGTTCATTTATGTTGTTGCATGTTTTTTATCGCACTTGTGACTTGATTGTCATCAGTTTTAATAAATCTGTCAGAGTAAAAGCATCTGTGTGTCTCCACAGGGATGGAGCCTCTCTCTCCTCAGGAGAGTCTCAATGAAGATGATCCAGCCATGGACTTGGCTGAGGATGCACCCCCCGCCAGCCCTGGCGTTTGTCAAAAGAGCATGTCCAAGCCTCGCCCAACCCCTTGCTTCAACCAGGACTGGCTCAGGAAGTTCTGGTTCCTCCGTTACTCCCCAAGCCACAACGAGATGTGGTGCCACGTGTGTCGGCTCCTCGCAAACAAGTCCCACCATAACCTGGCTTTAATTAAAGGCTCCAAGGTGTTTAAGGTCCACTCCATCAAGGTGCACCGTGACAGCCTCTGCCATAAAGCCTGTGTGAAGCGCTACATGATGTACATAAGTGAGCTGCAGCCCTGAAGCCTCACTGTTGGATCTTACTCTTGTTTAGTTTTGGCAGGGACCTGGGAAGGTGTCAGCTGAGGAACCACGGGGCAGTGAAATGTTCACTGTCCACCTCAGGACAACGTTTTAACCCTGCAGATAAATGGAGAAGTTGAACTGTTTTCCTGTTGTTCAGATGATTCAGTGTGTACAATTTTCATTCAGTTGGAAAATGCAGATGGATTTGTGGCACAGCGAAGTCATCTCAAAAGATTCAATTTTCAATTCAATGTTATTGTACAGATCACAGGACACTTTACAAAGTAAGCTCTAGACTTTACTATTGTTATTATTATTATTATAATAGAGGAAAAACCCAAATCTGGTTCTTTTTGCTGTTTCCCACAAAGAGACCAGCAGCATCAGTGAATGTGGTGTCCTCAATGTAATGTGTGTGAGTCCAGACCCTGGTCCAGCTTATCGCTCTGTGCCGTAGACCTTCACTGTTGTTCACCAGCTTTCAACCACAATGCTGAAACATGGGAGGCTGTCTGTTTCCGGCCAACAGCTCCAACACACCGCTCTGTGCAGGAGCTGGTGGAGCAGCGTGACCAGAGCAGAGACCAGCGACGCTGTCTCACTGCAGACGGCCGCTCCCAGCCTGTTTGGTGGAAACAGGCGGGCCTTAGTTTTGCTGTTAGTCTCTGGGTGGGATTTGTGCAAAATAAAAAATGCACATAAATCACCGGCCTTGAGCTTTAGGTCTCATGCCATCCAGTGTTTCTGTGCTGAGCTGACCCTGTGCTTTCACTGTGTTTTCATGCAGATGAACCCACCAGACGGTTGTTCACATTTCCCCATGTTCGGTGGTTGATGTTCTGACCCGTGTTGTTCTGCAGCAGCTGTATGTTGCCTTTGTTTAGGGCTCAGCCTGCTGTGCTCTGTGTTTATTGTACAGTTTGTGAACTTTGATTGTATGCAAATAGTAACACTCCTGTATTTAAAATAAAGCCATACACCACTATATGAACACTAAAAACACCTCAAACGTGCTCATAAAGTGAGGCCGGTCACTCCTGTCCCGGCCCAGTGTCTGAGCTGCACTACGTTTCAGAGAGAAGTACTGCCCTTTTTCTTTGACTACAGTTTCCAGCAGTGATGGGGAAGTTTACTTCTCTTTATTTAACCAGGTAAAAAAAAAAAAACCCATTGAGATCACGATCTCTTTTACAAGGGTGACCTGGCCAAGAGGTCAACAACACATGTCAATACATAAGTTTCAATACAAATCAAAACAAACATTTAAACATCTTACTTAGTAAAAGTAGTAATACTACAGTGTAAAAATACAAGTACAAAGTGCTGTGTCCAGCATTCTTAAAAATACAAAAGTACTTTGCATCAAGTATACTTGCAGTGCCAGAAGTAAAAAGACTGCTGGTGCAGAATGGCTCTTTTCAGAATATCTGCTACTGGGCCGTAGATACTGGTGCGTTACTGGACAAAGGTCGTTTTAATGACTACAGTATGTGCTGTTTCCCCGGTTCAGCCATAACGCATTGGTCTGAACCTCTGATCGCACACATCCTGGACATCATGTATTTCTAATCTGATAACTAAAGTTGTGTCAGACCGGTTTCTGCTCGTATATTCTCCACAGAAACCTCAACACGGAACTTGGAGCTTGATACCGGGACAAACGGGGAGACACCGTTTTTGCGTCCGGACACAAATTCACAGTTTAATTTTTTGAACATTAGCTTTCTTCCGTTCTCCATGTCATTTCCTGTGATAAAAATGGTGGTCACAGTTCGGGGAGGCGACTGAGTCGCTGCAAAAATTAACGGGAAACTTTGCATCGGTGGGCAACGACGGAGCCAGCGGCCGGGGGTCGGTGCTCGGCGGCGCGGGAGGGAGCAGATCTTCGCCCGGGCGGAAGGGG